TTGCTGCTGGCTTTGGGGGAACTATTGTATTGCTTTTCTTGTTATTAACAAATTCCATACAAATGACTTAGCACCATAAAATGATACTTGGCTCTGTATTCTCTAAAAGGAGCGGTACTGGGAGGTGGGTAGAGGGTGGAACCAAGGGACAGTGCTAGGAGGGAAGGGCGGAGACAAGAAGTGGCTCAGAAGGGGGCCGTTTCTGCACCTATTCTGAGAAAAAAAGCCCCGGTAACTGTACTGTCTGCCCTCATGTTGTAAAGTGCTGCACAAACTGTTGGCACAATATAAATCCTGTATAAGAATAATTCACTAAGAATTAAGCACTTCATGCATTTTTGCCTTAGAATAGCTCATGAGATATTTATCTCACAAGCAGTCAGTTCACTAAAACATGTTATATTTTATGAATGAATGAGTTATATGTTTCTATTTTGCAATATTTAGCACTTCATTTAGTATTATTTTTTGTTGCTTTATCTTAATGCATGCTGTAGCAAACGTGCTCATCAGAGATGGATGCAGAGTTCCCCTTTTTTATTAGAAGTATTCCTCAATCCTTCATTCCCTACCCCCTCCCTTCCTGAGAGGCACAGGGACAGATGTGTAAGTGTTAAAAGTTGCTGCCAGGCTGGAGCAGCAGGAGGCCCAGCGCTACAAAGCCCCCCCCATGAGCCAGCAGACTCTCAGTCCCAAGGCCTGTGAAAACTCACCCCTCCTAACCAAGATAAGGCAGCTTTCCCCGGACTTGAAAGAAGTTGGAAACTCATAAAACCTACCAGCCAGGTGACAGAAGTTAAATGAACATTCCTCAGGTCAGCTGTCACCTATGTTTCATATCATGGATTATGAAGCTGTTGGTTTTAATTCAGAGTCCGCCCGACATCCCTCCCAAAACAGGGTATTGGCCAGTACTCAAAGCCACCCCCCCTTGCAGGGGGATTTTAAAAGACAGGCTGGTAAGCCTAAAAACTAAGCAAACACATCTCCCAATTTTAACATCGGTAACAAAAGGAGATCAAAGATCCTTCCCGCTTTGCAACTTGGATCTGCTCACCTTAAAGCTGAAAAGGGCAAGTAACTTAACCTTCTAACTTCTCCCTGTTATCCTGTGCTGGCTGTTTTCTGTATATATATATCTATCTATCTATATCTATATATATATATCTATATCTATCTATCTATATATCTTAGTTACATTTTCTTTGTAAATATTTTATTGCACCTGTTTGACTCTTTTAGTAATAAATCTCTCTTTCTGAAAGTGTTAAACTGTTTCTAAGCGCTTACTTGCGATTCACGAATTCATTCCTGCCTTTGAACCTTTGAAGAGACGCTACTGTTCGTTATAATCTCTGTATAACGGGCCTGCGGACCGTGTTGTACAGATCATTATTTCAATCATTATAGTGTATATTTGATAAATAGAGTTTCCTTCTCTGACAAAAGACGGTGGTGGCAGTAGAGGGTTAGTTGCATAATTAACCCGACCCAGTAACAAGTGCATTCAGGCTGCAGGCACCGATTGTAGTCCATTAGCTCGACAATCGCTGTGTAGGGTGCAGCTGGGTCTGGCCTTGTTACGCGCGTCACACCGTGGGTTTAGATCGGCCGGTTCCTTCTGTCACGAGTTTGGTGAGAAGGTCCGGGTTCTGACGCCGTGATTGTGACGTATTGGTGGTCGCGGTCGTTGGATTGTCGCATGTTGGTGGCGGCGATCTGGCGATCGTGACACATGCATGTACATTGTCTCACCATTTTCTGCAGTGTGTGATATCTATTTCTCGTTTACACATTTATATATTTATTTGAGTATTATTACATGATATTGTCCTTTTTTGATGTGTATATTTCTTTGTAAGAACTGAGATTTATATTTATGCACTAATTATAGTATATAAGTGTATTTAGGCACTGTGTAAGGAAGCCAAATCTTAGTTTTTGTAACATTGTACAACAGTGAGTAGAATGAAGACAAACGAAGATTTGTGAAACAAATTACTGACATTCCTGAGCCAACAGCATTGTATTCCCACACTGATACATTGTTATCTTAATGGTAAGGTACAAGACACAGGATGGATATCATAGACCCCGGCTATAGGCTGTAGTATGTAAACCACCTGCACTACTCAGAATAAAGATAAATATAAAGATCAGGAAGCTACTATTACCTGGCAATAAACCTGAATAAGTTGCAAACATAAAAAAGAAAATGTTGTTGCGCTTTCTTACACAGTGCCTAAATACACCTATATACCATAATTAGTGCATAAATATAAATCTAAAAAAATTATAACAAAAAGAAATATACACATCAAAAAAGGACAATATCATGTGAGAATATGCAAAAAAATATATAGATTTGTAAAACGAGAAATAGACATCACACACTGGAGACAATGTACATGCATCCCTTAAATAGGGAAAAAAAGTGACATAAACCATAAATAAACACATAAAATATGCCTGAAACAGTGCCGTGACCAGAAGATTCACAACTGATAAACGTGAATAATATACAGCGAGACTGTCAGGATAAAAACCTGACTCAAAACAAAATTTTCGGACCACACAAAGTCCTTCCACATAAATGTGTTACTGTGATAAGTGACCAAAATAAACAATGTATGACTCGTATGATCAAATCCCTAATTGGGACTTTTTATGTGAACACACAAATACATAAACAGTGTCACAACAATATATCACAATGTGCAGCAAAAAAAAAAAACATACAAAAAAACCCTACTAGCCACTTAATGCCACAAATATTGTGCCACTAAATAATATAATAATGAGCAACAAATGTCCCCATGTGAACTCTTCAAAGTGAAAAAAATTCCATGGTGATACAGGTGAAAAACAATTGTGATCCGTCGCCGGCTGGATTGCCCCCTCACCTTCATACAGCGACCCCAAAGGGCCAATAAGCCTCCACACTATAAGGTGCAGCAATACAGCCAAAAAGCATAAACAAATCCGGTTTAGCAGTAGTGGTGGGTGGGCTCCCCAGGATACAGTGAAGTCACGAACGAGGAAAGCAACCCCAACACCAGCTTTTGTCACAACAGAATTTTACTTAGATGTGGCAAACAAACACAACCACAAATGCTGGGAACATACAATAAATTTACATACACCCAGCCCAAAGGCTGAGACCCTTGTGCTGCACAGCATGGCGCCTTCTGATGGATGAAGGTAGAAAGTGAAGTAATTTACCTACTGGGGGGCACAACTAAGCTGCCACACCTTACCTGTTATTACCCTACAGAGCAGGAATCAGTGTATGGGTGTACGGTATGGGCTAGCCTGCGGTGCAGCACAACAGCTTACAATCTTACACAAATCTACAGTATTCCCCCTCCCATAACTGGTCCTGTAGCGCGTGCCTGAGTATTCCTTCTGAGCAAAACACCAGTCTGGCTTGAGTTTGTGGGATTTTATCAGCTCTCCAATGTGAAATGTCAATTTAAGTTGTGGAGTCCTTCCAATGATCAGTAACAACACTTGTGGCCTGACACAGAGACCCTAACTAACTAACTATAGGCCTGTCTCAGTCCTATGGGCGTCAACACTGACATGAGGCGCGCGTGCGCGATCTTACCGACCTGGGTCTGCTTTGCATCCGCTGGTGACTCTGAACAGAACAAATGTCTCTCCACTGAGCATGCAATATTACCAGCAATGTATGTGACTCTGCTCCTCTGTCCTCATCAGCTTCCTGGCAGCAAATCTTCCCCTCTTTGAACAGGATTAGTGTCTTGAACACCATCAGCTTCACTCAATGGGATTTCTGATTACGGAGGGCATTCTCCACAGCTCGATGGCAAGAGATTATCCAATCACTCGGCCTTCTCTCTCCAGTATGACTTCCCTTTTCTCTTCCTGTTCACTTCTCCTTGAGAAAACCCCACCCCTTACTGAATATAGAAATCTCTATGCAGTCTGAAGCTGTTAGAAACAGTGACATCTTGTGGCCAAACTGCAGAATGTCAGCCAGAACAGCTTTAACTTCAATCAGTGTTCAAACAATGAAAGCTGTTTCCCCATCTCACAGTGGTACAATAGGTATGACCAATCCTGATATCCAAACTTCTTTTAGGCAGGATGATAAAATCAGCCAACAGTTTTACTCTCTGATATAATAGACTGGCTCCAGAGATTCTCTAATGTGGGATGAGACACAAGGCCTTTTTGTTAGAATTTATTTGAGATTTATATTTATGCACTAATTATGGTATATAAGTGTATTTAGGCACTGTGTAAGGAAACCCAACACCATTTTCTTTTTTATACCTGGCTATAGGCTGCTACCTTCGGGTGAATGGACACTGGCAAAGCTTTGCTGGACATGCCCCCTGGGTGTCCCCCTATAACCCTAACCCACTCCATGAGTCCTCAGTTGTTCACTAGTGTCCGTAGGTAATGAACCTCTTCTTCTTCTTTACTGAGAAATTATTCTGAAGTCAACTAGTTTATTACTGTACTTCAGATTCTTTATTCAACTCCTCACTGTCTTCTACCACAACAGTAGGAGCAATGCATCTGGATTTGTACCACCTCGGTAATACCTTGGAAGCCATACCTAGGCCCCACGCTATGGGGATGGCCTGAAATGTTGCTTTGGGTACTGGATCCTGCTTGGGTGCTCCCCTTGGCACTTTGTGCAATGCATGTAGTCAGAGTTCTGTACAGACCCCTCTCAGGGTATGCCCCCCATGACAGGCAAAGCCTGGACTCAAAAAGACCAGCAGCATGGTCTGGTAAGTCAGAGTCACATTGTTTATTGGATTGATACTGTAGCCCCACAGCAAGCAGCAAGTAGGAGACACAATGAGGTTGATTTACTAAAACTGGAGAGTGCAAAATCTGGTGCAGCTAGGGAGCCAATCAGCTTCTAACTTCACTTAAATAAAGGAATGCACTAAAACCAAAAACTATTCCTAATTTAGTGTAGAAACATTAGTGCAAAAAGATATATATATATATATCTATTCTCAATTAATATCAAAAATCAAAATTATGTGCAAAACTATTTTTTAGTGCATAAATAATTTAAATAATTAAATTTGTGAATATAAAAATTGTCCAATTCTGAATTTCTTCAAATGTCCAAACAAATCCTTTTCAAATGCAGGTGCTCTCAAAGAAATTGTGCCAAAATCCACCACCATAGTAAAGTTGGGTAACTCACCAGAGCTCCATGCTGATCAATCTCTAGATCAGCAAAAACGCTTTTTGCTCTGGGAGCAGATGCAATGAATCAACTTCTCAGGTGTGATGATCAATAGCTACACAATCATCCATAAGGTAGGTATCCACCACTCAATATAACGGTTCCAGGAGCATTATATCACTCTCTCTTTTTATATCTCTCCACCGAGGTCATGTTTGGGAATGAAAGAAAAAAATCATGGTGCAGCCAGTTTTTTTATAAAAGTATCCAACAATTTAATAAAGATTTACACTCACAAAAAGGGTGTCTTCACCGACACCAGTATAACAGCATAAAACAGCAAATGGTATAACAGTCTCCTGTTCCCCGCACACTCACTACAGCGCTCGTGACTCAATCTTCTCCACAGACGTCAGCATCCAGCAAGCCAAGCCCTACTAGTTTCATCATGAATGACGTCTTCAAGGGGCGGTCTGAGACGGAGAGGGATTAAGTCACGAGCGCTGTAGTGAGTGTGCGGGGAACAGGAGACTGTTATACCATTTGCTGTTTTATGCTGTTATACTGGTGTCGGTGAAGACACCCTTTTTGTGAGTGTAAATCTTTATTAAATTGTTGGATACTTTTATAAAAAAACTGGCTGCACCATGATTTTTTCTTTCATTCCCAAACATGACCTCGGTGGAGAGATATAAAAAGAGAGAGTGATATAATGCTCCTGGAGCCATTATACTGAGTGGTGGATACCTACCTTATGGATGATTGTGTAGCTATTGATCATCACACCTGAGAAGTTGATTCATTGCATCTGCTCCCAGAGCAAAAAGCGTTTTTGCTGATCTAGAGATTGATCAGCATGGAGCTCTGGTGAGTTACCCAACTTTACTCTGGTGGTGGATTTTGGCACAATTTCTTTGAGAGCACTTGAATTTGAAAAGGATTTGTTTGGACATTTGAAGAAATTCAGAATTGGACAATTTTTATATTCACAAATTTAATTATTTAAATTACTTATGCACTAAAAAATAGTTTTGCACATAATTTTGATATTTTTTTATATTAATTGAGAATAGATATATATATATATCTTTTGCACTAATGTTTCTACACTAAATTAGGAATAGTTTGTGGTTTTAGCGCATTCCTTTATTTAAGTTATAGCACTAAGAAATTTATTTGGTTTCTTTTGAGGTGGAATTGCTGCTTTAAAGTATTTTTTGTGGCGCTTTTATTACACTTGTGAGCTTCTAACTTCAGTGTGTTCAATTAACCACTTCATTACTGGGCACTTTCACCCCCTTCCTGCCCTAGGCCAATTTTCAGCTTTCAGCACTGTCACACTTTGAATGACAATTGTGCCGTCATGCAACATTGTACACATATGGAATTTTTATCATTTTGTTCACACAACTAGGGCTTACTTTTGGTGGTATTTAATCACCACTGGGGGTTTTCATTTTTTGCTAATAAGCTAAAAAAGACCAGCAATTAAAAAAAATTAAGTTTTTATAACAGTTTGCAAATAAATAGTCTTTCTTCAAAAATTTAGGCCAAAATGTATTCTCCTACTTTTTTTGGTGAAAATAACCCAAATTAGTGTATATTATTTAGTCTGTAGGAAAGTTATAAAGTCCATAAACTATTGTATATATATCTGAAAATCAATCAATCCTGATGCACAGATGGCCGATTTCATGAGGTCCGAAAATGCCAGGACAGTACAAATACCCCTCAAATGACATCTTTTTGGAAAATACACAGTCCAAGGTATTTAGTAACAGGCATGGAGAGTTTTTTCAAGTTATGATTTTTTTTACAATTTTTTGGAAAATTAAGTAAATTAAAACATTTTCTCTTTTTTTTTTACATCCTGTCACCAGTGCAGTACAGCGTCATCATATAACGGGGTGTGGCGGTGATTAGGAACACTGACTGGTGACAGTACAAAGAAAAGTAATAATTTTTTTCTTTGTTTCTCTTTTTGATTACATACAGCGAGGAACAGAAGTATTTGAACACCCTGCGATTTTGCAAGTTCTCCCACTTAGAAATCATGGAGGGGTCTGACATTCACATTGTAGGTGCATTCCCACTCAGAGACAGAATTAAAAAAAAAAATTCAGGAAATCACATTGTATGATTTGTAAAGAATTATTTGTCTTGCACTGCTGAACAGAAGTATTTGAACCCCTGAGAAAATCAGTGTTATTATTTGGTACAGAAGCCTTTGTTTGCAATTACGGAGGTCAGACGTTTCCTGTAGTCCTTGACCAGGTTTGCACTCACTGCAACAGGGATTTTGGCCCCCTCCTCCACATAGATCTCCTCTAGATCGGTCAGGTTTCGGGGCTGTCGCTGAGCAACACAGAGTTTCAGCTCCCTCCAAAGATGTTCTATTGGATTTAGTTCTGGAGACTGGCTAGGCCACTCCAGAACCTTGATATGCTTCTTACGGAGCCACTCCTTGGTTATCATGGCTGTGTGCTTCGGGTCGTTGTCATGTTGGGAGACCCAGCCACGACCCATCTTCAATGCTCTGACTGAGGGAGGAGGTTGTTGCTCAAAATCTCACAATAAATGGCCCCATTAATCCTCTCCTTAATACAGTGCAGTCGTCCTGTCCCCTTTGCAGAAAAGCACCCCAAAGCATGATGTTTACCACCCCCATGCTTCACAGTAGGGATGGTGTTCTTGGGATGCAACTCATCCTTCCTTTTTCCTCCAAACACGACGAGTGAAGTTTAGACCAAAAAGTTCTCCTTTGGTCTCATCTGACCACATGACTTTCTCCCATGCCTCCTCTGGATCATCCAGATGGTCATTGACAAACTTCAGACGGGCCTGGACATGTGATGACTTGAGCAGGGGAACCTTCCATACAATGCATGATTTGAAACCATGACGGCGTAGTATTCTACCGACAGTGACCTTTGAAACTGTGGTCCCAGCTCTCTTCATGTCATTGACTAGCTCCTCCCTTGTAGTTCTGGGCTGATTCCTCACCTTTCTTATCATCAGTGATACCCCACGAGGTGAGATCTTGCATGGAGCCCCAGTCCGAGGGAGACTGACAGTCATCTTTCGCCTCTTCCATTTTCTAACAATTGCTCCAACAGTTGATCTATTTTCACCAAGCTGCTTGGCAATTGCCCGTAGCCCTTTCCAGCCTTGTGGAGGTCCACAAGTTTGTCTCTGCTGTCTTTTGACAGCTCTTTGGTCTTGCCCATGGTAGTAGTTGGCGTCTGACTGACTGTGGGGTGGACAGGTGTCTTTAAAGAGCTCAGACAGGTGCTACTAAGTTAGATTAATGAGTGGAGTAGAGGTGGACTTTTTAAAGGCGCAGTAACAGGTCTTTGAGAGCCAGAATTCTTGCTGTTTCTTAGGTGTTCAAATACTTACGTTCAGCAGTGCAAGACAAATACATTCTTTAAAAATCATACAATGTGATTTCCTGAATATTTTTTTAAAATTTTGTGTGGGAATACACCTACAGTGTGAATTTCAGACCCCTCCATGATTTCTAAATGGGAGAACTTGCAAAATTGCAGGGTGTTCAAATACTTCTGTTCCTCACTGTATTTGAAAATTGTGACCAGAGCACTATAACGTTACCATAGTAACACTGTACTACTCTGGGGAGGTGATCAGTATTTTTTTTATACATTATGATTGCTTATAGCCTAACTCTGTCCTGGCATCCCTACTGTGATAAGGACAGAATGGGGGTGAGACACAGAACACACCGTTACCCTGAGAGACAGTACAAGAGAACCCTAAGTGCATCTCAAGGAAAATACTTTTTTTTAAAATTTTGGATGGGAGGGGATAGAATGTCTGTCATGTTTTTATTGCTGTCTCCACTGTTGATATTCACTCCTCTATTTCCTGGTGACCATTGACAGCCATGCAAACATTTAGGGTGAAGCCAACATTTTGGAGTTGTCCTCAGAACAAGAAATAGGAAGAACTCTTCCAATTAGGACACCTGTTCTGGGAAAAGCTGGCTAAGCCGGGAATTCCTCAAACTTTGGGAGATATTACCCAATTTTACACTGGCAGCAAAAAATACCTGACAGGGTTTATATCAATTCCTGATTCTATAAAAAAAAAGTTTTAGTTATAGATGCAATTTAGAAATGGAGATTCAGAATACAAATGTGCTCCTGATGTGTAGTTAGTGTGGTTTTTAAGGAAAAATATGGGGGAGGTGTCTCAGTCCTGCATTTTAAACTTTTTTTTTTAATCAGGACAGATAACACTTCCATTTCAAATTCAAATGTATTTACCCCCAAAATGTAAAAAAAAAATTGTCTGATCATAAGGATATCACATAAGTGGGATTTGTATGTAAAGGAGCAGAATGTAAAGGATCAAAGTGAAAATGTATACTTTAATTTGAGGAACTTTTTCCCCTTTTGAACTACATTAGAGGTAGCAATAATCTGCTGGAGGAAGTGGTTGTGGAAGGGGCAGAGTCTATCAGCAGGATATACAGAGGGTCACATGATACAAAGCAACAACCAATCCCAGAATATCAGGTGATCTGCAGACAACAGAGCAACATGGTACAGGGGTATGATCTGTGCTGGGATTGATCATTCCATTCATTTCTAGTGAAAAGAAAGTTGGAATTCAGCTTTAGGCTAGGTTCACACCTATACAGTTTATGTTTGATCTGTTTAAGCAAACCTTTTTGCGGTGCATTTTGTCCATGCATTTTTGATACATTTTGCAGGGGTTTTTTTTAGGGTTTTTTTCCAACTTGTTGCTGGGCAGATGAAAATGCAAAAAGCATGAAAAACACACTACATGCATTTTTGCAGTGTCTATTGTACCAAAATTCAGTGCTTTGCATTTAAAAAAAAAGTCCCTGGCCTTTTCCAAAAAACGCAAGGGATGAAAACTCGAATATGTAAATGTGTCCCATAGGAAATCATGTTAAATGGACTGCAGTGAGTTTCTGAAAAATGCAAAACGCTTAGATGTGAACCTAGACTTAAGGTAGAAAACCGTTCAAATGCACACTTATTTTTTAAACTATTTATACCAGTAATGATTAACATAAGGTTATATATTAAAAACATTTTGTTCTTTTTACAGATAAATTGAAGATTTTCCAGGAACTTCTTGTCAGATTAAATATGAAGCATTTAAATGATTCCAAACTGACATTGAGTAACATCCTAGAAATCGGAGCAGAGACTCTGAGTGATGTCCATCCCCAGACCATTCAAGATGTCCCGTGGCATTTTTTGAGAAAGCTGATGGCCTTGAACAGAACTGCATTTAATACTCAGTATGGACAAGAAACACAAATAATCAATTCAATTGAAAACATGTTGGAGTCAATGATTGAAGGGAAAGTAGTTCAATTGAATTAATTCACCCCCTGGATGTCCTCTGTGCTCTCCTCCATTGTTCAGACAGTTTTCTACAACAAGAGATTGTATCTAGATTGTCCATGTGCCAGTTTCCCGTCCCTCTCCTTCTCCCTGCTGGTGACGGGTCACACTGCACCCTTATGCTTTGGGCAATGAGGGACATTGTGAAGAAGTGGAGTGGGTGACACCAACCAAACTATCCAAATCTAAAATCCTGAATCAAGTTCTTAATCCAGCCCAACAACACAACAAAACTTCTTCATACATGATGAGATGGATGGAGGAATATTGAGAGGAAAATATCTGATGGCCTTGTGGAAATGTCCTGGTATTTTCCCTGTGGTAAGTCTGATGTTTTCCCAGAACCCATTGCAGTGACCAACCTACGAGGAGACCTGGAGACCAACATGAACCAATTCACATTTCTGACTCGAGTCTCATCAGCTGTATTTATATTCATTGAAAGTATTTCTGAGATACAATTCAGACTGTTATCATCCTTCAGTGACACTGACACCCAGTTTTATTTTATTGTTTACTCCAGAAAAGGGGAAAAAAATAAGTGAAGAGACCTTAAAGCACATAACAAATCTAATGACAATTTTAAAGATGAGTGCAACACAAATTATATTCTGAAAACCAGCACAGAACATTATGCAGCACTAGTGAAAAAAATTCAGAATGGCATTGAGAGTGTTTTAAAAAATAGTCAGAAAGAAAGACGAAACCTGTGTAGTACTACAAATATAACTGAAGGTCTTCATATCTTTGTTGATGAGAATTCCGCTGAATGTCAGAAAGCAAAAGTAAATGCAAATAATATTACTTCAGAAATAAAAGATGTGGAAGGGTATAAAAAGGAAACATTGAAATTACAGGGAGATCTGTGGAAGGAATTGTCTAAAGTAGAAAAAGAATTTGCAGAATGATGACGAGACAAGGGGGAAAAGATGCACAAGAATATCAATCTGAGCTCAAACAACAGATCAGATCACTCCACGAAAAAACAATACAAACATGACATTCCTGAAGGCATAGTGCATTTTATTGCAGCAATTACTGACCTCTCTAGAGCTGAAAAACATTATTTCTTGAGATGGATGAAATTTGAACTGGATTCAGTTGCAAGAAATAACACTTCATTGTTGCAGGCTGAATACAAGGAAAAATGTAACAGTAAATCAGATACTGCAGAACTTAAGCAGCTGGATAAAAAGATCTCAGACAGTTCTTTAGGAATAGAACATTTCCTACGTGAGCTGGGACAGTTTTATGAGGCTGAGTATTCCACAGTTGTTAATAAACAGAATAATAAAACCACAAGACAATTCACTAAACTTCCAGGAATTGCTGCTGATCTCCTACTAGATGGGTTCCCATTGGAGTTGATTGATGGCGACGCCTCTAATATTCCTTTACAGTGGATAACTGATGTTCTGACTGAGCTAGACAATAAGACAGGAGGACAATGCAAAATGAGAGTAATCACAGTGCTGGGAGTGCAGAGTACAGGGAAGTCCACCCTTCTGAACACCATGTTTGGTCTGCAGTTACCAGTGGCCAGTGGACGATGTACACGAGGAGCCTTCATGACTCTTCTGAAAATAAAAGAGAACGTCCGAGAGGAGCTGGGCTGTCACTTCATCTTGGTGATTGACACTGAGGGGCTGAAATCTCCAGAGTTGGCCTCTTTGGAGGACAGCAATGAACATGACAATGAACTGGCCACACTGGTGGTGGGGCTGAGTGATATCACCATCATCAACATGGCCATGGAAAACACATCAGAAATGAAGGATATTTTACAGATTGTGGTCCATGCTTTTCTTCGGATGAAAGAAATTGAGAGGATACCCAACTGTCACTTAGTACATCAGAATGTCAGTGATGTATCTGCTCATGAAAAGAACATGAGAGACAGGAAGAAATTTCTAGAACAACTTGATGAAATGACAAAAGTAGCTGCAAATATGGAGAAGAAACATGGAAATTACCTGTTTCAGTGATGTGATGGATTATGATCCTGAGAAACACAACTGGTACATTCCTGGACTGTGGCAAGGAGATCCACCAATGGCTCGGTAAACTTTGGCTACAGTGAAAATGTTTATGAATTAAAGAAATATTTGCTGGAATTTTTAAATCTCCAAACTCTAATAAAAATCAATGCAGAATCCCTTGACTTAGTCACATGGATAAAAAGTTTGTGGAGCTCAGTGAAACATGAGAAATTCATCTTCAGTTTCAGAAACAGTCTAGTGGAAGCGTATACCAAGCTGTCTATGCAATACTCTCTGTGGGAACGGGACTTCAAAAACACGATCCACAGCTGGATGATCACCAAAGAAACTTACATCAGAAATCAATCCGCAGCCAGTCTCAGTGCTGAGATGTACATGCAGTTTAAAGTTGATCTTCAGAGATTTACTGTCAGGAAAAGAGGAAGATGCAATGCTGAAGCTACTGGAAAAATACTTTAACAGTAAATGTGTGAATGTTCATCTCATTGAACGATACAAAGAGGATTTCTTCATAAGTGTGAGATTCCTGAAGAAAGAACTGGAAAGGAATTCGCTTAATAAACTCAATGAGGCAGTTTCAATCCAGAAAGGGAAATTCAAGATTCTGGATATTCAGAAGACATCTCGGGAACTGATTGAGAAAGAAATAACAAATCTCCTAAAAAACTGCAGAGAAAGAAATTGTGAACTTGGTGACATGGAGGCAAAGCAAGAATTTGAAGAGATGTGGAAGAAAACCCTCTCTGATTTACAAATAGAAGGACTGACAAGACGTAACATTGGACAAATGATTCTTCATCAGCTTAAGAAGGAAATGGGTGTAAAGGGAGGAGGTATTAATGAAAACCTAACCAATGTGATGAGCTTGGATGACTATGGATCAATCCATTTGTTCCTGACAAATACCACGTTGAAAGGACATTTCTTTCCTCAAATCGCAATGTATTCTATATAAGTCAGGCACACCTGGAAAAGATAGAAGGCCTTGCAGTGACTTTGATAGACATGTGTGACACATACATCAAAGAGAGGGCAGGCACCACAGGGGAATTATGATGATACTTACTTTCAGGAATTGCTACACATGATCAATGATAAACTCAAAGACAAAACTACTCATAAATGTTACTTTTCTCCCAAGTTTGAGCTAGATGTAAAACTTTTTATTTTTGGAAAATCATCTAGAGTATTTCAGGGCATACATGACAGGTTCATTCAAGAAGATTACCACAAAATGTGCCTTGAAAAATTAAAACCTGAATACTTGGCCACATTTGAGAGCATATTCCATGAGAAAGATGAATGTCAGAGCAGGGCCAAAAAATTCTGTGAGCTCTGCCTGAAGCCGGCGCTAACTGATTATATTCTGCGACATCTCGGCAAGGAAATCATCGATGACATTTTACAAAGTTCTGAAAGTCATATATATTTAGCAGCAGAAGTGCTTTTCAGTTAACTGTGCTGGAGGACTTGCTGAAGAAAAAAGTATTTGAACGCTATTTGTTGTACATTAATCATTATAAGGCCTTTATGAAAGGCTGGATCCGTCATTACATTATTGAAAAATATCAGAGTCCCATCAACTCTAAACTCCTTAGCAGAAAAGCTTTTATCTCCAATCACTGAAAAAATTGAAGAAGTCCTGAAGAGTGAGGAATGTGTGAAAACAGAGACCATTGAGACATTTCTGCAAAGTTTCTGCAAGTCACTAGACAAAGAAATAGTGATCTCACAGAATGAAATGACAATGATCACTTTCCACAATACAGCAAATGTCAGCCAGTTCTCTGAGGCCATTCTTTACTATCTTCCCAGCATAAAATGGAGCAAATTTTATCAGACGCAGAATTGTTGAACATTGAACGCCTTCTCTCCAGAGTCACACTGAAGCCTCAGGAGGAATTGTTGAAGAAAGTGATTGGTTGCGGTAAGCAATGTCCGTTCTGTAAAGTCCCCTGTGAGAATGCTGGTGATGATCATAAGGAGCACGCTGCATCTCTCCATAGACCTCAGGGACTGGGAGGATACAGATGGGTCAAAGATGAGACTTTAGTATTGACATCTGCTCCACTGCTGTGGTATCTAACAATACATTTAGAAATTCTGAAGAAATATATCACCCACACAAAGACTGTCGTAAATACTATCCAGATTGGCCCATTCAGTCTGACCCCAGCCTCAAATCCTCAGATTACTGGAAGTATATTTTTGTACTTTTTAATGATGACTTTGCAGATGATTATTCTGCAAAACCAGCAGAACTTCCACAGGATTGGAAGACAATCACAGAAGATCAGGCTCTTGAAAGTTTACAGGAATCTTAAAATCATATAAAAATCACATGGCTGTATTTGTGTCATCACTCACATATACAATACATGTGTTGGGTCTAAACGGTAAAGATATATTTTTCTAAATATAATTTTTTAGTGTAACGATTTTCATTATTCTAAAATTCTCATTTGCATACTCTCACGCTTTGTCTTGCTGCACCAAAGGTCTCCGGAACTTAGAAAGTGTTGATGTCAGTAAACAAATTCACAATCAGACGTGGGAATACGGCTGGATGTAATATATTCTTTTAAAATTGATCCTAAAGTGTGCATTGAGGCTGGGTGTGTGATGCATCAACGCATGTGTGTTGACGTGCCTAATGCCATGTGGTAACGGGCACTATGCTGAGGCAGTTCAATCAGCTGAATGAGTTGCCTAAAGCACCAAAAATGTGCATGTGTTTTTCTTGTAATGCAGCACACCACAACACATGATTACTAGTGCATTACTGTGTATTGGTTTCATTAAAGTGTTACTAAACCTAGGACCCCGCATTCACTATATCCGTTCTCCCCGGACCCCGCATTCACTATATCCGCTCCCCCCGGACCCCGCATTCACTATATCCGCTATCCCCGGACCCCGCATTCACTATATCCGCTCCCTCCGGACCCCGCATTCACTATATCCGCTCCCCCCGGACCCCGCATTCACTATATCCGCTCTCCCCGGACCCCGCATTCACTATATCCGCTCTCCCCGGACCCCGCATTCACTATATCCGCTCTCCCCGGACCCCGCATTCACTATATCCGCTCTCCCCGGACCCCGCATTCACTATATTCGCTCTCCCCCGGACCCCGCATTCACTATATCCGCTCTCCCCGGACCCCGCATTCACTATAGATCCGCTCCCCCCGGACCCCGCATTCACTATATCCGCTCTCCCCGGACCCCGCATTCACTATATCCGCTCTCCCCGGACCCCGCATTCACTATATCCGCTCTCCCCGGACCCCGCATTCACTATATTCGCTCTCCCCGGACCCCGCATTCACTATATCCGCTCTCCCCGGACCCCGCATTCACTATATCCGCTCCCCCCGGACCCTGCATTCACTATATCCTCTCTCCGCAGACCCCGCAGTCACTATATCTGCTCTCCCTGGACCCTGCAGTCACTATATCCGCTCTCCCCGGACCCCGCATTCACTATATCCGCTCCCCCCGGACCCTGCATTCACTATATCCTCTCTCTGCAGACCCCACATTCACTATATCCGCTCTCCGCAGACCCCGCATTCACTATTCCGCTCTCCCCAGACCCCGCATTCACTATATCCGCTCTCCCCAGACCCCGCATTCACTATATCCGCTGTTCCCGGACCCCGCATTCACTATATCTGCTCTCCCCCGGACCCCGCATTCACTATATCCGCTCTCCCCGGACCCCACATTCACTATATCCGCTCTCCCCGGACCCCGCATTCACTATATCTTGTCTCCCACAGTACACTGAACATGGAAATGCAATTATTTTAGTAAATAAAAACTGCTAAATATCTTCTCATCAGCAGTATACAGCAGTCTTGACTTCTATCAGTGTTCAGCAGAGCACTGGTTAAAGCTTGTAGGATGAGTTTTCTTTCTGCTCTAGGAGGATGCAGGACCCCTGACCTCTGTCTGGACAGTGCTGTTTGGCCCTGTGCTGAAAAAAAAAAACCTCTCTAGCAATACACACTACACTGAGCATGTGCAGAGTGTCTCCACACAATATGTGTTATCAACGGGACACTGGAAAAAGGGGAGGATCAGAGAAGTCAGGATCAAAGAGCCATTTCACACAATGCAGAGGATAACCCCTTAGGTTTCACAGTGAGTATAACAAGCATGCTTTACTGCATCTACAGACTGATTGTACTGTTGTGGGTTTAGTAACACTTGAAGCATTAATAGCTCTGAATCACACCTACATTATTATTATACAGGATTTATATAGTGCCAACAGTTTACGCGGTGCTTTACAACATGAGGGCAGACAGTACAAATACAATACAAATAATATAGGAGGATTCAGGGGCCGGCTCGTTAGAGCTGACAATCTAAGAGATGCATAATATGCCTTTCTGTGCATTGTGACAATGTATGCCGTAACTGTCGTATTACCGCAGGGCACCAGTGTGGCAGGCGCAGCACCCTTTGGTGCCTTGTGCGCTGTGGCATTAGAAAAATTATGCAATTGCTGTTTCTTTGTTTGATTAGACTGACTTTACTCTGTAATTCCCCCAATGCCGCTCTATGGATGCAGTAGGTTTAAAGAGCACACCGAATACTTTAGTTAACTTCTTTAATAACTTCAATCTTCTTCATAGAACGGCTTACAATGGCTTGTTTCTTTCATATTACAATGGTTCAATTCGTATTACATTGGGTTGATTCGATAGCTTATCTCGATAGGTTCAATAGATTCGATTAAATTCTTTCTGTATATTTTGACAGATTGATAAATTCACTTGGATTTATAAATTTGTTCGATTACTCTACAGTGACTTGATTCGTAAGTTCGGTGGAACTACAAGTAAACACATACAACAGTTTTTAAACACAGATCTACCTGCACTGTTAAACAACAGAGGAACACACACAGTGCATTAAATACCTATTTGGCCTTCTCTACTTCCATGGAGCTTCTCTGATTGGAACTTTGCCTGTTTTTCCTCCTCTGTCTGGTGAGCATGTGTCTCTAGAAAATCCTAGCAGGGAGTTTTACACAGGTATAGATGTGAAACTGGCTGGGATTGGTTAAGGCTCTGTACAGTGTGAGGCTGTCTGTGATTGGCTCACCTTATACTTACTCTTAAAGGCATATTTTCCTTTTCTGCTTCTGCTAACACAATTAATATATAAATGTCATATAACAATCAAAGACATAAATCACAGCAATGATTCTGCTTTTGGCTTTAACATGTGCACATATACACTGTACTGAGGTTATTGGCAGGTTTGGTATACATATATATGTGAACCATATTAGCAACCTAGGACCGGTCTTAGCTGGCCAGCTACACTCCCACCAAAATTACCTATAATTCTATGTTCTCAGTAATAATATTGAACATGAATTTGAGGAATTTTCCATCAGTTTCTCAACTCTCAAGTGTCTTTGTTACTCTCAAGCAGAACAACTAACTTTTGTATTGGACGTTCCAACTTGAGTGGAGTTGTGAGACGTTTTCCCTTTTTGTCCAGTTTTGAGTCTCCCATTTGTAACAATACTCTTCTTACTAGTCCTTCTTCGTCCTTTCGAGCTTCTAGGACTTTGGTCAATTTCCATTGACTTCTAGGTAAGTCGTCTTCCTTTACTAACACTATGTCATCAACATGAACATTTCTTCTAGGCGTTTGCCATTTACTTCTTCGTATGAGATGAGCTAAGTACTCCTTGCTCCATCTATTCCAAAACTGCTCTGATAGATATTAAACTCTTCGCCATCTTTTCCTTGCGTATAAATCCTCTTTGGTGAAGTTGCCAGGTGGTGGCTGTATGTAATCAGACTTAAGGTGAAGTAGATGGTTGGGAGTTAGAGGTTCCAAGCTTGTTGGGTCGTTGATGTTGTTGACTGTAAGTGGACGACTGTTAACAATAGACATTACTTCATAGAATAGTGTCCTAAGTGAAGCATCATCTAATCTTCCGGCGTTCTTCTTCAACACTGAACTTAGTACATTTCTTACAGTTCTGATTTGCCTCTCCCAGACTCAGCCTGTATAGCTTGCATGTGGAGCATTCATGTGAAAATCACACTGTTTCTCTAACAAGTACTCAGTTACTTTTTCTTTATCAATATCTTTTAGAGCCTTGTTCAATTCATTCTTTGCTCCAACAAAATTAGATCCTTGGTCAGATCTAAGTTCTCTGACAGTACCTCTAATGGCTATGAAACATCTTAAGGCGTTGATAAAGGCGTCGGTTGACATATCTTCCAACATTTCCAGGTGAATTGCTCTGGAGCTTAGACACGTAAAATATCAGTCCTTATCTCTTGTACTCCTTGCGGTTTTTGTTTGGTGATAAGTGGGCCAAAGCAATTCATTCCGCTATAAAGAAATGGTGGTGATGGGTTTACACGATCAGCTGGTAGATCAGCCATTCTTTGTTCTTCTGTAGGTCTACGTGTCTTTCTACAGATTACAGATTTACTTATGTACTTCGCTATAACTTTGCTTCCTTTCACTATCCAGTAACCACCTTCTCTCAAACAGCTTTGCGTAAAGCTTCTTCCTTGATGCAAGGATTTGTTGTGGTAGTGATTGATAACACTGTTCAACAGGTAAAAAGTTTTGGGCATAAAATTAGCTAATCTTACATAATTTTGGGTGCTGAAAACGAAAATGACCCTAAAAAATGTTGATTGGCTCTAGTTTCCATGATATATTCACCCATCTAATGACGTAAGCCATTCAAAATTATGATGCAACTTCAGCTGTATATTGCGCAATTGATACTGGTGACCAATAGAAAATTGCATTTATACTGAGATGATGCAATATTAGCCTTTAATTGCATCACTTCACTGCATAAAAGCTGCAGTATCTGTAGCTGATTGTAGTTCGTCTTTACATTTCGTTTTATGCTTATATAGGCTACTCAGTAATGCCTCGAACTTGTGTGAAATAAAGCAGATAATCTCTGCTATATCTGTGGTGAAATAACTTTTATCTCACAAAAAAGGAGGATAACAGGAATGATTAAGAAAGCCTACAACTTGTATTTTGGCTGCAAGATAGGAGACCAGGACAAGAGCTGGGCACCACATATATTCTGCAATTCTTGTGGGACGGCACTGGAGCAATGGTTGAATGGAAAAAAGGCATCTATGCCTTTCGCTGTGCCAATGATTTGGAGAGAGCCAACAGATCATGTTAGTAATTGTTACTTTTTGTATGGTGCCTCCAATTGTAAAAGGGCTAAATAAGAAGAAAAAGTTATCTGTGCACTATCCAAATATTCCATCGGCAATACGTCCAGTTCCTCATGGAGAGGGGCTACCAATTCCTAAAGCACCAGAATCCTTCGTGGTTGAGTCAAGTGAGGAAGAACCTGAAGCGTGTCGTCACGTGCAGTTGTAAGAGATAGCCCTTTCCTCGAATACAAGAGAAAAGCCAAGAGAAGCAAAACCGACACAAACTGAAGACAAAACTAGTGAGAATCCTAAGTATTAAAATGATTCAACTTAGCTTATGGCTATAATTTTTCTTGGTAATCCTATGCAATATATTATGCCATTTAGGCTTTGTTATGTAGTCAATATCACTTGCTTTATATTTGTGGAAAGACATCTATCTATATAATTATTGTGCATTATGTAGTCATTACGCCTATAGTAGAAAACTTTCCGTTTACAGAAAAACTAGAGCCAATTGACAAATTTCATTGTTATATTTGAACTCAGAATGTGAAATTCATTAAGAAATGGATCCTTTTGTTTCCAAAACTGGCAAAAAATAAAAATTTGTTGAACAGTGTAATCAATCTTGTGAAGGTAGAATTTTTGGGTAGAATTGCTGGATGCTTAACTCTGTTAGGTAGCGACACATTTTCCAGCCTCCCTCCCACCTTCAGTATACCATCCTGCAGAATAAGATTAAGCTTGTACAATGGGTGGTTGTTTGGAAGTCTCTTAGGTTCTTGACTAAGTCTCTTCAATTCTTCACTGTAGAATCTTTGATGAATGAGTCTTATAACCGTTTCTTCAGCTTTCACTCTCTCCTCTACATTCAACGATTCTTTCTTTCTGATTCCTTTTGCTAAGCGTTGAATTCAAGCTACAATGTTTATGACAGTATTCCACTTTGAACATCTGGCTAGTCGTTCAAGTATGTCATCTTGACACTTGGCAGCAGTGCTCAATGTTTGAACTACCTTTACTTCTGGATCACCCATAGACAGTTCTGTATAACCTTCACTGGGTATGATTTCCCTTTCCCAAAGGAACTCTGGACCGGTGAACCAGTTTGAATTCTTCAATTCTGTTACATTTAGGCCTCTTGAAGCATGATCTGCCGGGTTTTGCTTTGTGTCAACATAGTGCCAATGTTCTGGATTCGTTGCTTTTCAAATTTTTTTTAACTCTGTTAGCGACAAAGGTGTGGAATCTTCGAGCTTCATTGTTTATGTAACCTAGGACAACTTGTGAGTCTGTCCAAAAATGCTCTTCATCTATTTTCAGTTCCAATTCTTCTCTCAGAAACTGACTTACTGATGCTGAAACGACGGCTGCCGTTAGTTCGAGTCTTGGTATTGTGTCTGAATATTGTTGGGTGCTACTCTGGCCTTTCCCATAACTAGGGCACAGTGTATCTTTTCTTCTCCTATTACTCTGATGTAGGAGCACTGACCATAACCATGACTAC